CTGATGTGCTTCTTCCTTGTGGGTTTTGTTGTTTCTTAGCTAGATGGCTGGTGCTCATTTTTCAAGAAAAAAAAATGTATATTGACTTGCACACCTAAAGCTGCTGAATTTGATGAGATGTAAATTATACCTCAATAAAGTTGACCAAAGAATAAATAAATATAAGGCTCATTTTGCATAAGCAGATTAACTGCCTGCCCTCTGGCTCCAGCATGTGTATGAGCTTGCAATCCTCGACCAGTGCTTTAGATTTTTCAGAAAGTTTTCCATACTCCTTGATGTGTGATGCTAGCTGAGATTTGCAAACATGAGGATTGGTCTTTTAAAATATCCCTATCTTAGAAGGCAAGGGGGAGCAGAAGTTATTCAACTAGTTACCATATAAAAAGAGGAGCGAGGAAATGCAGGGCAAGGCAAAACTCCTTCTAGCTTGCACAAATTAGAAAAAGTGTCCTCCTCAAGTTAAAAGCATCTTAAGTTAGTATTATTTTGTTGGAGAATGTGAACGGCATTGTAAGGCAGTCCAGCTACGTGCCTTGGGCCCGAGGGCTTGCCAGAGCCCTGACAGGTGGTAGCCTTGGCTCGGCTCAGGCACACTCATGCCCTGTCCTTTCACCCACAACTTAGACGCTGCTCTGAGCCTAACAACTTTACCCTCCCCCAGCCTCCTGGGTGAAATGACCGTGACACGTTTGGAGTGGGGGGTGGGTGGGTCAGAGAGAGCAGGTGGTCAGGGCAAAGCCCTTAGGAACAGCCACAGTGCACTGGGGACAGGCTTTGGCTGAGCCCTGGGGTTTGTGCCAGTGAGCGTGTGCAGGCATTCCCTCACAAGTCTGTGCCTGGCTGTGAGTGCAGACGGGGGCTCCTCTGAGGCCTAGACTCTCCCCATGGACTTGCGTTCAGGTTGGTCTATGTCTGGCTGTGAATACGAGCTCTTTTTTTTTATTTAATCATTTTTATTGGGGGCTCGTACAACGCTTATCACAATCCATACATGAGCTCCTTTAATGTGGAGCCCTTTGTGCAGTGTTCAACGGGAACCACTGTACCTGGAGATCCCGGGTCAGGCATTCTAAACCCTCTTGTTCTTTTTCCTTAGGAGAAACCCCTCCAGGTTGCTTGAGAAAAAGCAAAGACAGGCCAAATCATCTCACCTTTCTCTTAAACCTTTCTCTTACAGGCGTCCGGCCTTAAAAATGGGTTGCATTTTTTTTCTTTTACGGGTTGCATTTTTATACTCAAGTATTCAAGGGTTCACCTTTCCACTGTATCCTGCTCTTCCCCCGCACTCAATTCACAAATGTTGAGCTGTGTGGTAGTTACATAATCTGTTGCCAATTTGAGGCTCAAGAGTGAAGGGATGGAGTTTAGCCAGTCAATCAGATTGCAGCTTGATGACCTCATTTGGAGTCTCTAAAGAGATAAACAGCTTGTTGGAGGCGGGACACACGCTGACTCCCTGGGAGACATTCCAGCTGAGAAGACACATGGAGCTATGCTAGTGCCCTGCTAGTGCCCTGAGCTGGAGGAGCCATGTGGAGACCCCTGCCAGCGCTGAGATTTACAATGACACTGGACCCACAAGACTTCCCACCCATTGGCCTGTGATCTTCCTGCATTTGGCGTCATTGTATGTGTTCGTGAGTCTGAAGAGGACTTTCTAGATT